TCTGTCTGTCTGTCTGTCTGTCTGTCTGTCTGTCTGTCTGTCTGTCTGTCTGTCTATCTATCTATCTATCTCTCTGCTTCCATACAAGTTATGATGGAGCGCCTACGATCGTAACACATGAGGGCCACTTTGCGATCAGCTATCAGCTCTTTCAACACTAAAACATTACATGTATTAACATTTATTAACCGGTCCTCTGCGCTTTCATATAACAGGCTGCTATATGATTGTGTCTGTAAGGCACAGGCTTCGGTTGCGCCCCCCCCCCCAAAAAAAAAAACCCACCGAATCTTCTGCCCATCTGTCTTTACCGAAATGCTTCCTCCCATGCCCGTGCTTACCCGCGCAAGCGTCCATACAACATACACAACGTCATGTGTAGTTTTGCTGTTGTTTTGTTTTTTTCTTTTTTGCCCCATAATGCGAAATATAAGCAACCATATTCCAAGAGTGCAGTGAAGAAACGTTTTGCAATCACTAGATGTATACGTGCATCTTTCTTTAAATGAAAACAACGCTGAGATAAAGATGTGACAAAAGCCATTGCAAAGTGAAATATATTGATTTAATTTTCTTTTTGATGAAAAACGCATTTCCTGAGAAGACCGAGGAAGTTTGACCTTTGAAACACAAATGGATTGAATTTGTTCTGAGTTCTGTACTTTAGATGGTTTGGCATTTATCCTTTTCTTGGTTGAGCGCTATATGAATGCCATATATTATTATTCTTTCTTTCATATGTTGTTCACAAGCACCAAACAATGACCACCGTCGATGGTGTAATAGTAATACTTTTTGGTCTGCCCACCAAAGACAATGGGATCAAAGGGAAGTTTGTGGGAGGTTGGTAGATGCTCTGATGTGGTTTTGTACTTCTTTCTTATCAAACATCTATGATCGCTGTCTCTCCTCCTTTTCTTTGTATGTTACTCTCTTGTAACATCCAAATCTGCTTCCCTTATATGACCCGTATGTATTGTAAGTGCCGTAAAACTCTTATTAAAACTTAACTAAAACAAAGGGCTGTTTATTTCATCATTCATCTGTCTCATCGACTTTTCTTTGCGATACCGTATTCTATTCACGGCAAGTTTGTGCGGACAGGCCTGGTTGAAGCAGCCTGTCTCCTAAATTATCAGGAATTTGTTAATGGAGTTCTAACACATAAATTATATCACTTAATTCTTATATAGCAGTAGTGTGTTCCTCTTCTCCTTTTTGTCCTAACCTAGACGGTCATATGATCGCCTAGGTCCCAACCCACCTCCTAGATATTGATGGGTGTGAAACACATTTTGCATCTCATCCTGCTTCCTACTACTTGTTATGTGTTTGTGTTTTTCCATGTGGTGTGGGTGGTTGGAGGGTACTCTGGTATGTTTGCTCCGTCTTTTTTTTGTGTGGTTGTTACTCTCTTGTAACACCCTTAATCTTCGACACTTATATGGCACAACTGTGTTGCAGTGCCATAAAACTCATGCTAAAACAAAGATAATTTTCATGAGGGAGGATTAATTTTTGGGCGAGTGTTTCCATCTATCTGATGGGACGTTGTGTTAATCTCAGCCCAGATTAACCCTCACTGACAGGCATCCCACCTCCTAAATGATCATAATTGTATCAGTGGAGGCGGAAACATTCGCAGTGGGTGGTTGGCAGGTGCTCTGGTGTGGTTTGCTCCTTTCCTATAAAACATCTATTACCCTGATCTCTCCTCCTTTTTTGTATATGTTACTCTCTTGTAACACATCTATTCTTCGGCACTTATATGACCTTATTGTGTTGCCAGTGCCGTAAAACTCTAAATAAAACTAAAACTAAAAGATTCACAATTACAATTTTGTCTTATTTTACGATTTCCAGGCCTGACCGGAGCATTCCTGAAGCTGATGGTCCCCGTCAGTGTGCTGCCTGTGCTGGGCCATGTCGTGTTTCACGTGACCTTGGTAGCCATCGCGGACGGGGATAACCCTTATGGCAGCATGTTCACCAACTGTGAGTGCTTTAGTAATGGTGTATAATTATGCAATTTAGTTTGTCTCTCATGCCAAAGTTAAGTCTAACGTGCTCTAAATACCACCTGTACACAATCATCACCTGTACAAATGAGCACCCCCCCTGCCTTTTTGTTATCTTTTTTTTCCCTATTATAATAACACTGTCCAAGAAGATCATGGGTGGTTGGCAGGTGCTATTGTAACACCTTTAATCTTATGGCCCATATGACCTTTTGCAGATGTGAACGGCGTAAAACCTCTACTAAAACTAAAAGATCATGGGTGGTTGGCAGGTGCTCTGGTTTCGTTTGCTTCTTCTTTCCTATCAAACATCTATCATCCTTATCTCCCCTTCTTCTTTTTTATGTTTGATACTCTATTGTAACACCTCTAATCTTCTGGCGCTCATATGACCTTATGCAGTTGCGAGCGCCGTAAAACCTTTACTAAAACTAAAAACCCAAAAGATCCTTATCTAATATGACCTCATTTCTCCTCAGGGTTGGGTTGATTTAAATCAGGTCGATTTAAATCAGTTGATTTTAAAAATTTAAATCAACTTGATTTTTTAAATAAAAATCAGTGATTTAAATCACTTTTTTTTAAAATTATTTTTATTCAGTTTTTAACATATTTCAACATTCAGAATTCCTTTCCTTGGTTTCATAAAACAGATATAAGGTTTAGTAGACTAGATCTAATATAATCATACTTAAAAGTCTGCTTTCCCCCTTTCACTGTAAAATAATACAGTATTCAATTTGCTTTTTTTTCCATAATTGAAATCGAAGCTGGGTTGATTTAAATCAGTTGATTTTTTTATTTTAATCAACTTGATTTTAAAAATAAAAATCAGTGATTTAAATCACCTTTTAAGAAATGTATTCAGTTTTTACATATATTTGAACATTCAGAAGTCCTTTCCTTGGTTTTATTAAACAGAAATAAGGTTTAGTAGACTAATATAATCATGCTTAAATGTCTTCTTTCCCCCCTGTCACTGTAAAATAATACAGTGTTCAATTTACTTTCTTTCATAATTGAAATCAGGGTTGGGTTGATTTAAATCAGATCGATTTAAATCATCAGTTGATTTTTTCAAATTTAAATCAACATGATTTTTAATATAAAAATCAGTGATTTAAATCACCTTTTAAAAAATGTATTCTGTTTTTACATCTTCAAACATTCAGAATTCCTTTCCTTGGTTTTATAAAACAGATATAAGGTTTAGTAGACTAATATAATCATGCTTAAAAGTCTGCTTTCCCCCCTGTCACTGTAGAATAATACAGTATTCAATTTACTTTTTTTTCATAATTGAAATTAGCATTTTCTTTTTCTTTTTAGACAAACACAAGCGCGCGCACACACACACACACACACACACTGTAATAAAATGCACGTTTATCTATGCATAATTAACCCCCCCCTTCCTTTTAGACTGACATTTGCTTCACTTTTTGTCTCTAGCCATAATTCACTGATATAGCAGATTAAGGCTTTCTTTTGCAGTTGCTTAAATAAATCATTACTTAAAATAAAGACAATATCCCAAACTGTGTCGACATTTTTGTAAAAACTTTTGAAATTTTTAAAATCCGATTTAAATTTTTAAAAATCTTATTTAAATTTTAGAAATCGATTTTTTACATTTTTATTTGAAAAATCAAAAAAACAACCAACTCTGTTTCTCCTTGACAATAGGTTGTTGTCTCGAACAGGTTCAACTCTATCTGGTTCAAAATTTTTAAAAGTCAAACACAATTTCATTTGAGACATGAAAGTGTTTACAGACGTCATAGGAAGTCTCTGCTCTGCCTCTTGTCACTTCAATGGGAAAGCTGTTACAGGGGCAGATCATTATTTTTTTTATTAGGCTGTTATGTAATAGATTTAATGAGTTATCTCCCCCCTCCCCTTTGTTTTACTTTTTAGGCTACTGTATGAGAATAAGAGACAGGAGCAGATTTTTTATTCTTTTCTTTTTTAGGCTAATGTGTAACAGACTTATTAATGAGTTATTTCTCCACTTCATCTTTTGTTTTAGTGTGTTTGTTTTTTGTTTTTTTACAGGCTAATGTATACAAGACTTATTAATGAGTTATGTCTCCCCCCCC